GCTAAAGCTTGTCCGTAAATATCAGGCTTCTAGACAGAGTATGTAGTCACAAATTGACCCTCTAGGTCAGTGTTTTTGCCCACTGTGCCCACTGTGACCATCACTCACGGCACTAGTGTGCCGTGAGTGATGGTCAGGTGTGCCGTAGAAAATCATCATATTTCACCTAATTGGTCTAAAAAGAGGGCGGCACGGTGGTGTGGTGGTTAGCACTGTCGCCTCCCAGCAAGAGGGTTCTGGGTTCGAATCCCGGGGGAACCAGGACCTTTCTGGGTGGAGTTTGCATGTTCTCCTGTGTCTGTGGGTTCTCCGGCTTCCTCCCACAGTCCAAAAACCTGCATGTTAGGCTGATTGGAGATTGGGGAAATTGCCCTTAGGAGTGAATGTGAGTGTGAGTGGTTGTTTGTCCTTGTATGTCCTGTGTGTTGCCCTGCGATGGACTGGCGGACTGTCCAGGGTGTACCCTGCCTCTCGCCCGTTGACCACTGGGATAGGCTCCAGTTCCCCCCGCGACCCCATGAGGGAATAAGCGGCATTGATAATGGATGGATGGATGGATGGTCTAAAAAGATTTTTTGATAAGTAATTAATTATCTGCAAATAATATTCCATTTTTGAGTGTCTGTGCTGTACTGGTGACTGATGGCGTAATTATGTAATAATTCCTTATGACTAAATTTTGTATATAATTTTTCTTTATTGAAGTGGACATGTTTAGTGCAATTTGAAAGAAGAAATATAAAATATGTTAAAAATACATTTTGTGTTTATTTGATTCCTATTCAAGACACCTAAGATAAGATAAGAATAACTATAGTGTTAGTATAGGCGGCTACAGATTTATTTGACATTTTTGGTTGCTGGTGTGCCTCGTGATTTTTAGGCAAATAAAAAAAAGGTAATGGTTCGCTATGAGAGAACATGTCGCCGGAGAGACGCAAGTCGAGGAAGAACGGAATAAGGTAGAAACAATTTTGTTTTCCTGATAAAAGAAGAGAGTCTACTCTTTCTTTTGGTGTGTTCGGTGTTTACATAGTCATAGCACAAACTATTCTGTGGCTCAGTTAAAATGCTAAAAAAACTCTGGCAGTCAGTGAGTTAAGTGGCGGTGACCTTTGACCCGCCGGGGGTCCGGCGCACACTCACAGTTTCGGTCCCTGGTGAGGCCGATCCAGACGTGGTGGTTGGCGGTGTAGTTGAGGGTCCGGAGGAACTCCTGCTCCGCCCGGCTGTGGACGGAGGCCAGATCGGTGCGCAGCGACTGGCAGAAGTGGCGGGCGTCCGGCCAGGAGTAGCCCTGCTGCCCGTCGTACACGGCGTAGCAGTGGCGCCCGTACGGGACCCAGAACGGGAGGCACTTCCCGTCACCGGGGCTGGGGGTGGGCGGGGGCTTATCTGGGGGTGGGTGAGGGTTAGGGTTGTCAAAAGTATCGATACCAGATTTATTTATGGATTTATTTACGTTGTTTATGATCGTTAACAAGACGTTAGCCTTGGACTGCTAGCTGCGGCTAATGGCTAATGATAACATGCTACCATTAGTCAAGTACATATCCAACTCCGCCCACATCCAAGTCGGCCATTTTGATTACGTCACCAATAGGAAGATCCCGGGCAAGAAAATCGTAATGCTTCATGGCAATATAGACATTCATTTAAAAATAGTGAAATTAATCTTCCAAACACTTAATTAAACTCTATACATAATATTATGTTTGAATAGTGGATGTTAAATAGGTTTGTAACCTGTCAAAATTCAGTTACATTTTGGGGTCTTTGTTTTTATCCTTGTTTTATCGAAAATGTAGTATTGGTATTGGGTTTAAAATTTTATTATTTTAGTATCGTGACAACCCTAGTGAGGGTTAGTCTCAGGGCGGGACGGCGTCCCCAGAGGAACGGGGCCTGGTGGAAGGTACCTGAGGTGATCTTGCAGATGTAGGCTTTGGCCTGTTCGCATCCGGTGTCGTTCCAGGTCCCGTGGAAGCGGGCGGCGGCGTGCATGCTCACGCAGCCCTCGCCCGCCACGGTGCTGGGCTCCCCGGGCCCCCACTGGGTAAAGAACACCGGCCAGCCGTCCGACCAGCCGTACGAGCCGTCCTCCTGCGTCACGGCAACAGAG